ATTTAGAGGAAACTGGGGTTGCTCTAGTTGGGAGCAGTAAATAACAACGGAACATAAATCCTTAGGAAATAAATCCTTAGATGCACTGCTTACGAAGCAACTCTAAAGGAATATAGCTGTCACTTCAAACCTTTCAAGTTCAGCATGTTCAGGTAGGGAACCAACAATGCATGATACAGCCTTTTTATTTATACATGAGCCCCACCAGACCAGGAAAGACTTTTCCAGGGTTTAGCACGCTGGGGGATTATGTTTACCAGTCTTTTTTTTCCTTTTTAGTCAAATGTTTTTCCTTTAAGTGCAACAAAATTAAACGATTTATCTTTTTTTAAAGTTCTCTTGATTTTATTATATCTTGGAGATCTTAGTTTTGCTAATTAGTTTGGCCATCAACCAACAAGAATAGTCTTTTTTCTGTATTTAGTATTTGGTTTAAAAATAAATGGAAGCAGAATAATTCTAGTTGTCCTCTTAGGTATTTTTCAAGTAAACTGACTGCATTTGGCAGTGCATCTGATAAATAGCAATTTGATTTTGCAGAAAACAAGGCAAATGCACAGAGTTTTTCATAAGTTGCTTACTTCTTCTTAGTTCATGTTTCGTACTTTGTTCTTGTGCAGAAGAAAAAAGTCAAACGATTTTTATTCTGGACTCGTGTGGGTGTGACATATGTATATATGATGATGAACACAGGTTTAAACCACAAGTTTGTCCTCTCCTCCCCCCTCTAAATACAAGATACAGCAAAAGGGGAAGAAATGTTCCAAATTAAATAATGGATTTTTTTCTTTATTCAGTAAAATGGTTTAACTGAAAATACGATTTGTTCCTGAAGCTTAGATGTATGACCGTGGACGTTCTAACTTCTCCTTACATAGTCTGAATCACAGGCACGCAGGAATTAGAAGCAGAAAAGCCAACACAGAAAATCCTCGCAGAGGCCTCTAGGCCAAAAAACGCCTCTTGGACCATCTGGGGAGGGTACTCAGGGTGGTTATGCAGGAACTCTCAGCAACCAAGGCTGGAAGTAGGCTTGGGGGAAGTTTGGGTAGATTAAGTAATTCCCAATAAAGTTAGTATGTTTGATCCACAGTGATGCTTGGGAACTGTGTTCCTTTCAATGTAACGGTGGTCTCCTACTCAGAGCTCTTGTTCTTGAACAAACTCATGCTGAAATCGTCTGTGGAGGTTAATGAGGTTATTTCTAAGAGCAAGAATTACTCTAAATAAGACTTAGAAGGACTGAGTCCTTAGGGTAAAAAACGTTCCCTGTCCCAATAAGCCCAAATCTTAAGACTGCCAAAACAAATGAATTGAAGACACTGACAAACAATGGCAGACAAAGAACAAATTCTGTGCACCTTAAAAATAGCAAAATATGAAGGGACAAACCGTGCCTATTAGGCGCTGGACTAAATTGGGAGTTGGTAGGAAGTCACATGTCCCTGAACATGTTATGTATTGACCCCTTGTTACTAATACAGAATTCCCATCTCCTCTCCTCTCCTCTCCTTGCCTCGCCTCTCCTCTCCTCTCCTCCACATGCTATTAATTCATATCTTAATATAATTAATCCATATATCTCCCATCCAATGCCTCAGCATCCCAGAACAATTACATTTGTTAGTGTTTTTAAGCAACAGACATTGGTGAGAGGGAAGTAAAGAACAGTATTCCCTCTCAAAGCTTTGGTGAGTTTCTCCCAGCTGTACACTTAGCTGTCGCTATGTTTAGCTCTGGCCACATTAGAAACTGGTATTATTACACATCCCTTCATCTGAAGAAACTGGGCAGCTGTATTTTTCTTTGGTTTATGTGATACAGTTTTTGGACATATGACCTCGGACTGTCTCATTCATAGGAATGGGATCTTGCTGTCTATGTTGACAGGCAAAGTTTCCTAGTAATGTTAAGCATCCAGTTTTCCAAAGCTCCACCCCCCACATACTCTTATGTTTATAATTAACCTTGTAAGAGATATGGGAAGCAAACACTTACGGCATTCTTGTAGAGAATCCAAAACCCATCACTGTCTCCCGATATCTAGTAAGGGAAATACACAAATTTAGACAAAATAATGGACATATTTGTATGGATTTCCCTACCATTATTTTTCCCCACACCTAAACACTCTCTAAATGTAAGCTGAGCTCCTAGGAACAGCCCAGTGTTAATCCTTCATAACTTCACTGCTGAATCATCACATTTGTCCATTACACTCTTTTCTATGGGAAGCTTCTTTCCTCCTTACTTGTTGCTCTAATTAAAAAGGAAGCCTCAGCCACAAAAGTGTCACTTTTCTCTGTTCTTTCTCCTTTGTCTCTCTGAGCATCTAAAGCACTGTGGTTTTTGAGACCTAATGCTAACACTTGATCTCTGCTTCTAGTAATTAGCTACACTCCAAGTCTCATCTTTACAAAACAGTTGGAAAAAAAATCTGAGAGAGGATATTGTCATACATTATATTAAGTTGCTCCATTTGAATGAGAGACACTGTGATTTAATGACTTTCTCTGGTCTGAGACATTTGTAAGCCACAGTGACAGATAAATACATTTTCTGCAGTTCATTGGGATCCCTAAAACCGAATGTAGGCACATTCCCTGAATCGTTGTATCAGCCATCCACAGTTTCAGGACCTGGGGCAAAGGAGAAGTTAAATGACTTCCTTAGTGTCTAGCAGGAAGTCCACAGTATATTTTTCACTTGCTGGTATTTTTAAAGCTCTATGCAAGGCAGGCATTAAACATACTGAGGACTATATTAACTCACAGTAACAAAGATTAGTGATTCAGAATAATAATTTGACTTTTCCAGAGTCATCTTCTCAACTAGTTTAGTCTTTAATATCTGTATGCTACTGGCAACTTTTTCAGGAACACGAACCTTAGCTGACTGTCAATTAAAAGGAGCTCTTATCCCACTGCCCATGGGACTGACCATGAAAATGGCTCTAGAGTTACTTGTTTTTATCAAACCTTATCTCCCACAGCCGCATGATGAACAGTAGCTCATAGGGGACTAAGTGCAGGCTTACTTCATTTGCACTAACATACAGCCCTTTGGATTGTTATTTTACTGCCCTTTAGGCCTTTCCAAATTTGAGCTGTTTTCTTGGTTAGCCTGCAGTAAATGCATGGTTACTTTTATTACTAAATCGGTCCACCTTCTCAAGCTGGGTGCTCTGAAAAGTGTAAAGCCTCATCAGATAGGGCCGTGTTGAAGCTGTTATAAACCATGTTTATAGCTAAGTGGTTCTGGCCACAGTTTGGCCTTATCCCCCCTGCCCTGACCTGTGTTCGGCATTTGTTCAGCTGCGTACGTAGTTAAGACCCCTGCTCGGCAACCAACAGTTCAGACAAAGGCTGAGGACTGCAAAACAGACATGTTTACCATGTTATTCTGTTTGAATTGGTGTGACTGTAAATTGATATTTTCCAGTCGTCAGTTGAAAGTGTTCAATAATTCATAAGTTTTACGTATAGTCTTGTGGCTTGCTTGGTTCTCACTGATGGTTGAGATAAGGAAATCTTGATGGCAAGCAGTATGCAGCTGAATGTGCATTTGCAAATTAAAAACATGCTGCTTCAAAGGGCTAGCATTAAGAGCCGGGGTTTTGTGTCAACACTAATGACTCCTGAAGTCGCTGGTAGTAATATTGACTTTCTGGGTTATGTGGTGGAAGTTTTTTTTCTCTTTTTCACTTCAGTCACCTTGAATGTGGTCATTAATTAGTAGCCTAGTTTAGTTCAGAGTCTGGCTTTTGAACAAAACTGCAACATTTTGTTACTGTAAGGAGACACAAATTTACTGAGTTTTTAGAAACTCTGTGTTTGAAACATGGTAAAATCCTTTTTGTTTGGTTTTGTTTTCTTTTGTTTTTATACGCTATTCCTTAATGGAGATCTCTGCAAAGGCAGATCTGCTGGAAATGTCCAGATATGAATCTCTGCAAAAGCCTGGTATGACAGAAGGTAAAATAGCAAAAAGAGGTTGAAATGCTTCTTTGTACCTTCCTTTTCCACAGCCCTTGCACATCTCTAGCTGATTGCATTAGAAACCATCTATATTTAATGCTTTCTTGAGATCTCATTATTGTGATTTAATCAGTGATTCCAGGATTCACACTCACAGACGCTGCCTTTGATGAATATTAGATTTGGCACAAGCAATAATTTCAGGTATCTCTGCACAGAACATAAGCAGGCAGTGCTAGCTTGTCATTTTTCTTTTGATGTGCTGCAACAGCATGTTTTAAAACAGGTTTGAAGGAAGGAATGGATTATTTTAGCTTATTTTTATAAGCTCATTTAGTTTCCTCAACATGAAACCCCATGTGCAGTGAAAAACGTGATGAAAGTACTGATTTGCTTACAGTAACTATAAGCTCCTTGCAAAGCTGTTGGAGGGGAGGAGAGGGTTATTTTTGTTTAAGTGCCCCCCTCCCCGTGAAAACCTGCGTATGGTCAACGATGTAAAGCTGCACGATCGCTCGCGCTGCGGGGAGCAGAAGCCCTGCTGCGCGGTTGCTGCAAGCTCGCAGGAATGTCACTGGGAGCATTCCTCAAGTTTGGAAGTCGGTTAATTCCTGGCGTGTGTGTGTGGGGGTATGCGGGGAGGCCATTCTGCTTTACACCTCTGCCTGTAACGATGAGCAATGAAAGCAGCTCCTTTGGTCATGTAAGGAGAGGTGGAAGATAGTGGAGGGAGTGAGATGGGAGAAGGGCAAGGGTGGGCATGGCGTGGAGTGGCAGGGCTAGCAGGAGAGGCAGGGGGACAGGGAGAGGGGGACGGAGAGAGAGAGAGGGGAGAGGGAGGGGGGAAAAGAGAGAGAAGGAGAGGGAGAAAGATAGAGGAGGGGAGAGGGAGGGAGGGAGGGAAGGGACTGGGTGCCTGTGATTGGTAAGCTCCGGGAAGGCATCTGCCAGCAGGACTTAGAGGAATGTGAAACCAAATCATTTACAAGTTAAAGATAGACGCAGAATACACAGCATCTTGAGCCAGGGTTTAAATTCATCCCTCTCTGCCTGGCTCCTCGCAAAGTTCTGTTTGCCAGCTTTCCTCTATCTCCTCCAAAGACTCTGATACTCCCTTAAAAATAACACAATTCTGGATTTATTGGAATTACTAAGGTGGCAAAAGAGATCATGGTGCACACTCTAGGGTAAGTAGGAAGCTCGCCTTTGCATATATTTGCTACAATAGTTTCTCCACGCTTTGCTTGTGCTTTCAGAGCACTCAGCAGTTCCTTTAAGATAAGGCAGATATGTAGGTAGAGCTTTCTCCCACGATTTGTTTGCCTGTATTTTCCCCTTCTGGATTCTTTGAACTTTGTTCCTCGGTGAAGCGTTAATACACAAGTTTACTTGTCGTTGCGTACTTAACGCGTCTTGGGCTTTAATAATCTTACTGTTACAGTTTTGAGTGCTGTTACCCTATCAGTTAATTTTTTTATATACTTTTGCTCTGTATTAGTGGGATATGCTGTTTGAAATGCTGCTTACTATTACGAAGTTGAAAAATAAGTTTTTTTCCACGTAAGAGGGAATGTAATCAATGTTTGCTTGCTTGTTTGGTCATGGTTCCCCTTACCTGCTCTTTCTTCATGTGGGGGGTTGAGCACAATTCAGAGGTCAATAAATCCAACCTTTTTGTTTGTTTGTTCCCAAATAACGCTTTTACTTAGCATTTGACTTTGTTTTCCATGCTGACCTTTTCGTTTTCTCTGAACAAAGTCATTCTCGCAGTAATTGGAAAATGTGCACATTCCTCCGATAGTCGGTACTTAAGACGTGAGTTTGTGGGTATAACAAGGTTCAGGCTGCCGTGGTTCTTTTTACAACTTACCAGAAGTAATTTCGGTATCTAGGAGACTTGGCACTTAATTGACTGACAGTATGTTCAGGCTGTTTCTCCAATACTTCTTGTGAAGTTGTTGCGTTCTGATGACCAGAAGGATTTTTAAATACGAGCAACTCAGAAATTAGGTATAATAGTTGTTATATAGCGAGAACTTGTACTCTGATTTGTATGGGAATTTCTTAAATGCCAGCATCCTTTTTATCATTAATTCTGGGCAAATGTGTTTTGACTTGTGATAGAGGAGCTTCTAACTGGTTTTGGTGGCAGTTTACCCAAACATATTCAGAATACCTTATGTGTTAATGCTGCCCATAATAACCATAGGAAGTAGGGTGCTGCCTGTGGATAACTGAAGCGTCTTACATATTTGTTCATGGAGATCAGTGCTGAGGAGAATCATGTAATGTCATGAGTCAGTCTTTGCCTTACAAAATATGTGGAATCGCATGAATTAAAACAGAAATGTTTCCTCTGTTTGAAGGAAAGATGGTATATCTGATCCGTTTTATCTTTCTTCCACTGGAGTGATCTCATGCCTACTGATCAGCTTACCAGAATTTTGCAAAACATGGGTATATTTGGGTGAGCAAATCTGCTGTGAATTGCTTAAATGGTTAAATCTAGGGGTAAAGGAGAGGGAAGGGACAGAAACGTAGAACCCTTAAGGTAAATCTGGAAAAAAATAATTGCAGGAGTGAGAAATGGCATTTAAGCCGGTTCCCTCATAACAGCTTATGCTAGTTGGGTGTTCTTTTAACTAGTTCAGACTGGCTAAATACTTTAGTCTCATACTAGATTTGTAGAACAGCAGTTACTTACACTAAGGCATCATGGTAATTTTTTTGTTTTTTTGTTTTTTTGATACAGAAATATAAGAAGTTTGAAACACAAAGTGTTGAGATGAGTAAAAAAAATAAATTGGGCCTTAGCAGAGCTGTAATTAGTTTCTGGCTCTTCCACAAAATTCTTGTGCAGCTTTGGGCAAGTCATTCAGTTCTCTGAGCTCCTGGAAGCCGAGGAGGGGGTGGGAATACCTTTCTCGCTCACTTTGTCTGTGTTATGTGTTCAGATAGCAAGTCCTCAGAATAGGCGCTGCCTCTGATCAGGCTTGGCGCAATAGGCGTCTGTTTCCAGCTGATGTGCCCCCTCCGCAAGGCCATGGCAGAGGAAGGGAGGGAAAGGAGAAGAATCCACAGATTTGGGAGTAAAGGTTCCTTGCTTCTTTTATAAGCTTCCTAAACTGAAGGAGAAAAATAGACTGACATTCAGAGGTGAGCAGAAAATAGAGCTAATGTTCCATGGGAAATTCCTGAGTCAGTTCAAACCTAAATTGCATTTCCCTACCACAGTGTACTGCTTTTCAGGAGTTATAGTTCAGGAGCATGGTGTTCCCATTTCATTATTCGAAACTCTCCTTCCATAATTAAATGCCCAAAAGGCCCTGGAGACTTTGTGAGGAGGAAATCTGCTTTGTGTCCTGAGAAATGAAGCCACTTGAGAAACCTAGTTCCTGCATGGTTTGGAATGGGCATCTCACCCACGAATAGGGAATCCCCAGAATAAGGAAGTGCAATATTGGATGACTGTTGACTTGTTAAGAGGATGTTGGGTGATGTTGGATTGACTTTAAAAAAAATATCAAAAGGAAAAAATATTTTGGTGTATCAATTCCACATGAAATAAAATTTCCATTTGCCTTAGCAGTAAGTGGAAAAATTTCAATAAATTGATTTTTTCCATAGCAAATATTGACATATTTGATCTAGTTTATGTAGTGTTGATGTAATGTTGCCATATTTTTGAAATGGAATATCCTTGGCCAGCTCTGTTTGCACTGTTACAGTTAATCTGATACCACGTATTCAGTGTTTAGTGTTCATGACACCACAAACCAGTGCAGTACTTCTGACACTTTTGGGTAAGGGTTTTGGAGCGTTATGAAGGCTGCAGGCTGGGCCAGGGATCTCTCTCTTCTCTCCTCCTCCCCTGCCTTCTCTTCCTGCTCCCAGCTCCTCTGCTAGCCACTTGCTCCTCCAGTGACTGGGATTTGTTGGGAAGGGGAAGAGGAGGAGGGAAAGGGAAAAATGTCCTTTCACAGAATCACACCGAATCACCGAATGGTTGAGGTTGGAAGGCACCTCTGGAGATCAGCTAGTCCCAACCCCCTGCTCAGGCAGGGTCAGCTAGAGCAGATTGCCCAGGACTGTGCCCAGGCTTTTGAATATCTCCAAGGATGGAGACTCCACGATCTCTCCGGGCAACCTGTTCCAGTGCTTTGTTACCCTCACAGTAAAGAAATCTTTGTAAGAAGATGTTTTGAGGGTTCAGTATTCTCCTTGATCTACTGGACTTCTTGCTCACTGCAGCCTTTCCTTCCCTCCCTGCCCTGCTTTCCCCAGGCTCACAGACCTTCATTAACCCCATGTGCATGGTTAACATTTTCTAAGGAGGGGGGAAGCGCTGCTGGCTGAAGAAACAGGGAAGATGGGAGTACAGTCCGCCTCCAGCCCCTGCCTCTTGTTATTGGAAAGGGAAAGTCATGCAGGCCTTGGTCTTCAGGGAGCTTGAGCAGGGGAAGGTGCATCGGTGAGGGGGGCAGCGCAAGACTCTAGCTGGCGTGCTGGTGCCTGCTGATTTTGTGATACTGCATATGCAGTTGTGCCACTCTGATACTGGTATATTGTTTGTCAGTAATGTGTGCCATGCTTTGCTGTTCAAAGGAATTGTCTGTTCGGTGTCACTTAAGGACAAGGCCTGCTTTATCACAGTTAGTAACACTTTTGCTTTTGGAGCGGGCAGGGATATGCATGTGGATATTCAAATCCTTCCGTGTTACATTCTACAGTTTTTCTATGTGGTTCCTATTTCTTTCTGTCATGAATATTTTTTGTCTCTGTAAATCTTTGTTTCTGTCTCATCTTCAAGTTGTTTTTTTTTTCCAGTGATCATGCTGCATAGCTGAACAGTCAAAAAAAAGAAAATAAGAGTGTCATCAAGAACTGCTTTATGAAGAGTTTAAGGGCTGTTTCTCCAGGGTTCCCTGAAAATATGCTGGCATGTTTCTGAGCTCAAAAGTACCTAGAAGAAGTTCACAGTGATATAATTTCCTTTGGGTCCTAATGAATCTACTCCCAGAGCCAGCAGCTAATTTGTTTTGGCAGGATATAACAGGCAATGCTTTATGCAGTGCACCGCACTATAGAAATCCTCAATTCTGTAAGATCAGAGGCAATTCTAGTGAAAAAGAACAAACCTAATGGTATCCTATGTAGCCATGTTATAACCTCTGAATCCGTGAGTTCTCCTAGTCCCATTCACTGGAAATTCATGGAAGTCCTTCAGTTCAAGTTGCAGCAGACCTCCTTCCCTTTTTACTGATTCTGGTTCCTTGTTTGTCAAGGGAAAAAGTACTTCCTGAACTAATTATTATTGTATGAAGTGACTTTACCTGGAAATATAATGATATTTCCCACTAATAGGATGCTTAAAAATGCAGCTAATTGCAGCTGTGGTAGCTGAGAGAATGCCTAATAGGCTTGAGAAAACTACCCTTTCTAGCAGAGGGATATTACATGAAGCCAAATTTTACAGTATCTTTTTTATGTCTGAACCAATTGTGTTGCCTCTTGTTGCATTCAGCTATAAAACCTGAGCTGAGGACTATGCTCTGGGTAACAAAAAAGAGATGGGAAAGCACTGAAAACAGTGAATCTTTGTTAACTTATCTGTTGACATGGTGGTATCTGTTTGCTGAATTTACCTTCCTTAGGGCAATGGAGGGAGCAGAACAGAGTCAGCTTGTTTCTTTGGTCTTTGACAAGTCAGGTAGGGGCTTGGCATATGCTTTTCTAAGAATAGTGACAGTAAAACTTGCCCAGCTGTGTGAAGTGTTTTGAGATCAAGGGATGAAAAGTGGTACCTAAGTGCGCTGCATTCTTCTTTTCTTTTCTGTCTTTTGTAAGGATAAGATAAAATACCTCCCTCTAAATTTGTCAGAACATTTGCACTCACCAGAACCTAAACAAAGTAAAAAGAAAAATGAAGCAGACACAAAAAAGTCTGGTTTGGGCAAACAGGCATTAAAACAATTTATTGACAGCTGGTGACTAGTTCTTGTAAACACAACTGAAGTAAGTACAGCTAAAGCACAGTCGAATATGCTTGGGTTAGTGAAGTTTTCCGTGAGTACTCATTACCAAATAAGAACAGCTGCAGATAGAATTCGTAATCTTATCCTTTCTTGACACATTTTTTAAATATACCATTTAACAAAAACAGATGTTTTCTGGTAATTATCACCTT